AGAGTAATACCCAGTTTCTTGGACTGACATAAATCTTTATGGCAAACACACTTTACCCCACAGTATTATCAGATGAGGCAAAATATGGATAAGAGAAGAAAAGAAGAACATCAACTAATGCTTCTTTGGGGTTTAAAGTTGTGATTAGTTTACCCAGTTTATTGCACTACTGCTGTAATACCAACTCCTGAACGCACCACCTAGCCAGAGTGCCTTGCAGCTACTGATTTAAACTTCACAGAAAGCCTTTTTGGCAGATAAACTCAATGTTTCAGTGACATCAAGCTATCTTCTGAATTCACAGCACATTGCCTTTTCATCATTGAAACACTCGAGGACTTCATTTCTTTATAGTGCCTGAGCATGTTAAATTACATATGGGGACTGAGTTCGAAGACTTCTGAGGCACTGCACTCTCTCAGTCCCTCCTCTGTGTTTGTCTGAGTCTAACTGGCAGAGAGTGGGGAAAAATGAGGGAAGTGCAAGAGACAAGACAGCTGCATTGGATCCCCAGTTAGGGGATACCACACACAGAGACCAACCTGCGTGTACTCTTAGGCATGCACGCCCACACACTCACACTCTGACACATACACAGCCTCAGATAGAACAGGCACACGTTACAAACACACAGATTGCGCACATATACATAATGTATATATACACTCACAGACATCCTGAAGAGATGTGGCAATGATGCGTGTGCGTGTGGTGCGTGGGCGTGGGTGGCAACCGTGCTTCAGTAGACATCAAACGGTGAGCATCCATAGGCTGACGGTGCTCCACAAGGAAATGAAAACACAGATCTGACGCTGTGGGGGCCCTCTGAGGACTGTCATTAATACTTCACACGCACACAGCCCGGGTGCACACAGATTGTGTCAAGCCTGCCAAAATTGGGTGCACTGAGTTTCGCATTGACATTCCTCCTTAAATCTCGACAGTTTGGAAAATACTGTCAATTTCAGCGGTTTTACTGGGCTTTGTGTGTCGCACTTCTTGGTGGAGAAAAAAAATCAAAAGTTCAGATTTGGAAAAGATTCTGAGGCGTTTCCATGTGTTGAAGAAGACATGTAGCTTGTCCTCAAAGGTCTTCACTTTTTTTTTGGGCTTTGTAGCATTTTTACAAAGCCAAAGAAAGTAGTGTTAGGCTAACCAGCTACTCCTGACATGTACTTTATGATATAAAAACAACTTTTTGACAAAATGTAGATACTTCAGCAGGGTTAGGAGTTATCTAAAGGTGAAAACAAAGTATGAATTTGAAGGATTTATTTTAATAGCTTGAAACAAACAACACAGGAGAAGTGTAAAATCAACTTCTTATTCTCTCAGCTGTTATATGATGGCATCTTCTGTAAAAATTGTATTTATGTACCTGTGTTCTTGAGGTATAAGCTCTGTTGCGCACACAGGAATCAGGATTTGGAGTAAAAGTGGTGTCTGGCTGGGGCTGACAATGACAAACGTTTTGGAACTGGGGAGAAATGGCAAGACATAAAATGGGAATCTATTTAGCAGACTGGAAATAATCTTTCAGTGCCATCTCAGCCTGTATATACAATGACACAAACACTCAATAGGAATCCTTACATTTATTAATCAGGGAATAGAAGAGTTTGGTCACAGAACTACAGATCTAGCTGTGGTTTAGATCACTTTGTCAGGCATGCTGTAAAATGCTTCACAGTTGCTTCACACTTCACTCCCATCATGTAGTCTTTAGTCATGATTTGCATCCAGTGGAAACAAATGACATACTCAGAACCAATTCACTCACTGCTTCTTTGGCACAGTGGGGAGTAATGGAATAAGGAAGTGCTAACCCCGACCATCTGGCTCCTTGTAGTCCTTTGTTGTTATGTTGTAAGTATTTGAATAGTTTTTATGAGTGTCTCATGTGTCACTGCCGTTGGGTCAAGTACGGGTCGATGGTATTTCAACTCGCTCCAGCTTCTGCTGGAATCAATGAAAAGGTTCCAGTTGGGACTTTAAGACAGGACAGGACATTCTGCACTTTTCCTCTCTTCTCGTTCCACGCTCTCCTCTACCTCCTTACTTCATCATCTGATCTATTATCAATGCTTTCTTCCATTTCTTCACCACAATTGCTGTAGCTGCCTGGATAAAATGGAATTTTACCACTGAATCAAGTTCAGAAGGAAAGCACAATTTTGGATGGTGCAGTCAGTGTTGCTGTAATTTGACATTTCCCAGAGGCTATGGTGTCATCCCTTTCTCCTCTCTTCTTCTTCTTTTGTTTTTCAGTCTGGCTAAATTGTGTAACTAGAGAATGTACAGGTGGATTTATACTTGTACGTCACACACATTGATCTGGGGATAACACAAACACAGCCACGCAGTAAATATACCCCGTATTTGTTTTCCACTTTGTGACAACTCGGAACATATTTTTTCAAGATTCATAATGTGTCAGGCCAGGTACGGCTCTCTTTGTCTTTCTCACTGTCTTTCTTTTTCACACACACAGACACACACACACACACACACACACACACACACACACGCGCGCGCAAACGAACAAACAGTCTGGAAATGTTTCACTTTTCTGCCGGGAAAACAACCTGCCAAAACACCGATGGTGCATGAGATTTTTGTCATGCATTCATCCTCACTCAACAGGCACATTCACTCACACACATGCACCGTAGATGTTTACACTCACACACTGACGCATACACACACACACACACGCACTAAGTTTGAATCACACTGAGGCTGAAGTCAACAAAGAGCTGGGTATTGCCAGATGGTGTGTGTAATGTGTGTGATTACCGCTTCGGTGTTTTTGATCTGCGATGTTGCCTTGCGCGTGCGTCTGCATGTGTGTTTGTCTTTGCGTATGTGTGTGGGCGATTAGTCCTGCCTTGTTTTTTCAGAGTGTTTTCTACGCCTTCAACAGTTGGATTGCTCCCCAAAACCGCAGGCCAAAGACCTTGTTTACCACCAGGCATGACTTTGTAAAAAAAAAAAAAAAAAAGAAGGAAAGAAAAAAACATCCGAACAAACATTATATTTGGTGGATTTGTAAATACCCTAAAAATATCCTAAATTGCAGGAAAATGTATGAAAATTGAGCATTGTCTGAAGAAGTGGTGATTTTCTCTCTACCAATTTCAAGATCATAAGCTGCTCAGCTGTCGTGTTATGTGTGATAGCAGCCTTTTAAAGCCTTTTTTTCTGTCTTCATTTCTAAAGTCTCCTGTCCCAATAGAGTTTGATGTGAAGCTGTCAGGCAAGCGAGTCTCTGTTCTCTTCTTCTCACTGACAGAAGCAGTTGGCTGACAGAGACTCTCCTGATGGTGACAACTAAATGATCTCTTCTTTATTAAACACCTCTTACTATCTCCCTATCGCTCCCTGACTACCTCGCTTCCTCCTCGCCTTCAGTGTCTCTTTTTATCTTTTGACTGACTGCTCTTCCTCTCCTCATCTATTTCTCATTCCTCCGAGTCCCCCCCCCCCACCTCCCTTTGCCTTATTCACCCTCTCGGGTTGTAACCTCCCACACTGTCTCCTCTCCTGATTTCTCTATCCTCTCTGTCTCCCTCTTTTTCTCTAAAACGGAAGAGTGAATATGTTTCCCTCCCTCACCTGTGGCCATCGGCCAGTCAGCCAGCTTGTCGGTCTGTCAATCTGTTTGATAGTCACTCAGCCAGCCAGTCAGTCATTGTGCAGCAGTGTTAAAACATTAATTAAAAAGTGTCATCCACAGAGCTAGGCAGTGATCCAGACTGATCTCAGCGATCCAAGCTTTCTCTCTCAGTCCCCCCCCCCCCCGTCTCCTTTTTCCCTCTCTCCTCATACCTTCTCAGCCTCTTTCTCAGTTTTCTGTTTTCTCGCCCCTCTCCTTCCAGGAGGACTGAAAGACTGGGCTGATAAGAAACATTATTAACTTCTCTCTGAGAACAGAGAGCTGGAGAATAGAAGTGGGATGGAAGGGGAAATAAGGGACGAAGACAAAGACAGAGGCAGGGGTGTCAAACGCAAGAAAGAGAGTAAGGTAGCGAAACGGATAGACATTAAAAGTGGGCAGTGGGAACAGATCGAGAGAGAGGTATGGAGGCTGTCTGTCTCTCTTATAGGCCCTCCAAGCAGGGTGCCATACAGATGTCTAGTTATTATCATCATTTATGAGACAGTACTGTCTGTGTTCTGAGGCCTACGGGTGAGATTTGAAACAGATAAGGACAGAATTGACAGATAGTGGCATAGATAGAATAAAAATGTAACTGTGATGAGTTGGAGTCTCTTGGGGACACCCTGAGAAGCTGTGTTACATTCAGACTTTGTTCAGTTTTGTGTGCCAGTTTAATTTTTTGAATGCTTTCTTTGCTTCCTGTTGAATTCAAACTTTGTGGAAACATTTTCACAGTTGCACCTAAAAATATTATTTCAGAGAAGGTAACATTTATTGTATTTAGACGCTACTTTGTTCTACTTGGGCACAGTGGTGCTTTGAGCTAAATGCTAATGCTAGCATGCATGCTCACGATGATGCTAACACGCTGATGTTTAGCAGGAAAAATGTTTACTAAACTTACCATCTCAATTTAGCGTGGTTAGCATGTTAGCATTCACTCGTTTTAACTAAACAGAAAAACAAACTTGAGCCAGATAGGAGTGTCATTAGTTTTGCAGGTGCTTGGTCAGAAACCAAAGTATTGGACTATTTTGGGGGAATATGGCTGTTTGTAAGAAAGTTTGTGGAAATCCATTGAATAAATGTTGAAGCACTTTACTCAAATCCACAAATGTGAACCTCATGGTGATGCTTGATTAAAGGTCAGAGGGTCACCAAAGTTATTAAAATTCAGCCTCTGGGAATCATGAATGTCTGTAAAATTCATGGCAATCAATTTGTTGAAATATTTCTGGACCCATCTTAGAGCCATGCAGCAATCATAAGACAAAAAAATGTTAAAAATATCAACACTGAAATAACAACTAATCAGAATATTTCATTGTCATTTTTACAGATATGGGAAGATTGTGTCAACAAAGGCCATCCTAGACAAGAACACCAATCAATGCAAAGGTGAGTGAGAATCCATTGACTTTATACGGTGTGGTTATTTGTAGTCTAGCAGAGTCACACTATAATTCACAAACCCAGATTCTGATATGAAATTTGCATCTGGAAAACATCAGTCAAGAGTTTATTAAAGCTGGCAGCTTACAGGCAGACCAATCAGTCCACTCTGAGGAGTGGTTTTGTTGTTATATATTCCTTCCTCTTGTATTTTTTTTGCATCCCCAATTAATCAATGTCTAAAGCTTTTCACAGAGGACTAAAAATGTCTGTCAACAGACTGTATGACGTCAAATTAAAACAAATTACTTTAGCTTGTGCTGTGTGTGCTGTTGCTCAAAGTCCCTGTGTTTGCCTCAGAATTGTGTGTTCAGCTATGTGGTAAGGGTGTGGGTTTTTACACTGTATACAACACAACAGTATTGACTGCCATAATGAGCATATCACCCTTTAATCTAGCTAAATGATGCACTGCTAGTACCTTTATTTTTTTTTTTATCTCTCTATGATGGTGATTTCAGGATTGCACCCTAATGATACTCAGAGTTAAGCAGCTTTTGAAAGCAAGATGTTGGCATTGTTGTCATTGGCCAAATCCAAACGGAGAACGCCATACAATAGCCACAATGTGTTTCAAATACTCTCTGCGGTGAATGAGGCTCACTCAAGTGTCTTCTGATGAGGGTCTGCTTGATTGTTGGAGTGGTTAGAACAAAGCACTAATCAATATGATTGTAGTCGTCTGCTTTTGAAGAGGCACACAAGAGCATGTGTTCAGCATGATTGCTGCTCATCTGCTGGGGTTGTACTCAAAGGTATACTGACATGGTTTGGGACAACAGCACAAATGCCCTGTAATCAGCGCATCAGCCTCAATGGTATGAGTGAAGGAAAAGCTAGTCTGATTGATAGCAATGGCAGAGATGTTAATGCAAATTCTAAGACTTCATCTGCTGTGATTACTTAGGATAAAATATTTTGACTAAATGATTGCAGTCCTGCCTGTCTTAACAAAATAATGGGAACACCGAACCTCATTGAATCTCCCCTGTAAACTCTTTTACTTTAGTTATTATCTTGGATCTTTTTAAATGGCCAGTTATATAAATCATACAAACTTCATCATTCCAGTACCTGCATTGGCATCACATAATCAAATATTGCTTTGAGCTCTCAGAGCATATTGAAATGCCTGTCCTGACATCATTACAGCGCAGCCGAAGGGAAGGCAGAAGATTCTATAAACCTACTGATAATTATCAGTTATTCTTCCATTTTCTCAACTCATTTAATTTTTTCATTGCTGTTACTTGAAATGCAGTTTAAAAAACTTGATTCAGTACAGCCTTGGTGCTCCAGCTCATGATTATTATGTTTGCCAATTGTGGCTTCATGCTTCTTTTAGTGTGATTTACAAATGGGAAATAATATGTTTTATTTAAGATCCAATTGCATATGAAAAAAGGCATTTAAATACAGTGCTTACAAACTTGACCAAAACCAACCTTGATCTGATTTAAAGTGGATATATATGTAGCTCCTTTGTGTCCAACAACTGTTACAGACACACAACAACCCATACCCTTGACATGTTCCTTCATTACAGTGGACATGGGCACTGTAGTTTATTTTGAGTCGATCCAACATAGCCCTGCTGCCATAAATACCCACTAGAGCAGGGGTTCTCAACCAGGGGTCAGGGACCCCAGGGGACCTTGAGGGAGTTCCACAGGGTCCCCAGAAAATGGAGTAAAGTTTATCTTGACTATTTAATTCACTATAGAAGTGAGCCCAGTGTGAGTACAAGTGGTAACAGTGGCTATTCTGATCATTAGTTTAGCTTCCTCCACAGTTTTTTCCCACTACTGTAGTTGACAATTGTAAAATAATTAATCATCTTAATCATATCTAACAAGCAGAATCTTCTCAGATGGAGGTCTCTGAAGCTAAACCTTATCAAACAGGGGTCCGTGACCTAATGTGAATCAATTTAGGGGCAAAAAAGACACAAAAAAGCTTGAGAATCACTGCACCAAAGCACCACTTCTGTATTCATTTGCAGCAGAAAAGAGTCTTCAACAAATACACTGTTTACTCTGTCTGTAACATCTGCTGAAAACTACAGTGCCCAACTATTTGAGGCAATTATTTAGACTTTAGAGCAAAGGAAACACTTCGCACATCTATTAAAAAACACAGGCGTGTTGGAGAGAGAAGACCAAAAAGTTGCAAAAGGACTCCCGCACACTGTCTAACTTGCAATAAATAATTTATTTATGACGTTTCGGTACTAGACCTTCATCAGGCAAAACGGGTCTACCGAAACATCGTAAATAAATTATTTATTGCAAGTTAGACAGTGCGCGGGAGTCCCTTTGCAATTATTTAGCCTTTTTTTTTTTTAAAAAAAAAAAACAATGTTTAGGAGGATGTATGACTTCAGTGGGAATGAAAAAATGTGGGGCTACGAACCTCAGACAGGGCGCTGTTGGTTGTGGTCTTCCTATGGGATTTTGTTGACAATTAGAAAAATAGAAGAAGAAAAAATGTTCGACATTCACGTGGCCGGGGGGAAGGCAAGGCTAAGCAATGCATAAAGCAGATTTATACTTGTGTGTCAGCTCTATGCAGAGCCTACACTGTAGCCTACGCACATGGCCTTCGCCCTTGTGAGCATTTATACTTGTGTGTTTGGTTGTCTGTGTCACTCTGCAGTTACACTTCCAAACCACTAGTTGGCTGCAGGGTTTCTGTGAAGTGCTGTTAAGTTTAGTTGATTCAAAACACACCCAAAACAGACATTAAAGCAGCTGTGCGGAACTTTACGTTTTCATTGATTATAGTGCCCCCTTTGGTCAAAGCGGTATGACACCCACAGCCTGGTATCGTAAAATCTCGACCGCAGCCGGCAATTACCACATGCATTTGTTTTGGAGAGCAAGAGGAAACTCATAAATGTTCTGGTGTAGCTCTGAATTTCTTATAAACGGAGGACAACTGCCTGCTGTATATTTGTATTCATGTCACAGTCACAGATAATTTTGTTGTAACGTCACTATACTTTTATAAATGGTAAAAAGTTCCGCACAGCTGCTTTAAACATGGCTTAATAGCGACAATTTCAAACACAAATACACAAATTGGCTTCACTATAACTTGCAGCATTCACAGACAAAGCACTCTTTATCTGGACACATTTTACCCACAAATACAACATGCTAATGTGGCATTTCACACTGTATAAATTAGCCTAGCAGCTAGCGTACTTTTCCTCTGCTCATATGAAGCTAGGATAAATCCCTAAGTATAAATCCCTGAAGGACAAATCACACACAAGACTTAAAATGCTATTTTAGTGGAGGCTTTATTGTCTTTACAATTTATTGTTTCTTATCTGTGAAATTAAAGTAAATAAAAGCTTTGTTTCTACTGAGGGAAATGGTTTCTCTTACAAAAATAGACAGGAGGGCTGCGTCACCGCCATGTATAGTTACACTTCTGGTGATACAAGTAAAAATACATGACTGAAGGAGTGTGATTTATAGTCAGCATGTTTTGCAAAGTCAGTTAATGACTTCAGACTCAAGCAGCAAGTTGACAGCCTGGTTTAATTACACTAAGTTACATTTTGGGCTGATGTGTTAAACTAAAAATCACTACAGAGGAAAAGGTTTGAATTTGTAGCCAGAAGTATCACTTGTGAAAGCATACAGCTGCATGAATGAGCTGTTGTATGTGTGCGCATAATTAAGAAAATGGGTCAAATACAGATTAGCTAAAGATAAACAAGGACGAAGGGTAAAATAGTCTCAGTGGTGTCTGAGCCTCAGGGTGATGTGCCCACCCTGAAGAGAAAAGTAGCTTTAAAGGTGTATGGGAGTCATAATGTGATTTTTTTTTTTTCATTTTACAAATATGTGAAAATCATTAAAAAAAACAATTTATTTTAAACATGTTTGCAACTCAGTGGTTTAACTGTGTACTATCTTTTAATTTATTTATTTAGTTTTCTGTTGTCCTCCTGTAAAAGAGACAATACTTTCAGTTACATAAGAAGGTATTATTTTTAAAAATCTGGGCATTTTTATAGTGAAAGCAGTGAGCCTATCTGTTTGTGAGTGACAAAAAAAATGGTGTGCATGTCTTGAGAGACTGTTTCAAAACACAAACTGTTACATCCAGCCATAAATGTATGCTTATTGTTTAATGCAGAAAATACTGCAGCTGCAGCTGTAGCAGACAGGGCAACTTCTGCAGGCTATGGCGCCCATCAGCAAATTCACTGCTTGTGATGTAGACTTCATACATCTCTCAGCCAGTTGTTAACTCACAATGAAGGAGTTTCATTATCAGGCGGCCATTAGAATGCCTTACAACCGGATAAGTGTTGGTTTGATTGCAGAGGCATTCAGCGGGGACAAGATAAGTGCTTAGCGTGACTAAGAGAGTACAAATTGGCACAGAGAGTTCTCTTGGAAAGGGAGGGATGGATGGGAGGAGGCCTGGGGAGGTGGAGGGAGGGGGGCAAAAAATAACCTGGGGCTGACAGAAAAGGAAGGGAACCCCTTGAAACTGATGATTTAGCAGACAGCCTCTTCTTTTCAGGAAGATTCAGCAGAGGGGAAAGAGAGATAGGTAGAGAGCGTGAGAGACAGGGAGACAGGTAAATAAATAAAGTCCTCTTCCTTTGCGGTCTGCAGGGGTGGTGTTCGGTCAGTTTGTACACTGCTGCCGTCAGTAGGCATCTTATTTATCCCAGTTTCGGTGGTGGTTTTTACTTTTATCTTAATAAATTTTTGGTGCTCTGAAATTTTATGATTCCCAGGCATTTAACACCTCTTTAAGCCATATGCAATGAACACAAATATGCACTGTCTTCAAGGCGTCTTTGCTTTTTTTGTCCCTGAAAAGTTGATGTGGTCTCTGAAACAATATGGAAATATATTAATAAATGGTGCATAGATACATTAAAATGTTAGCTCTTAAAAGAAACAGTTTCTTAAGAA